CCCGTTAAGGATAGGGACCTCGAATTTCCTAGCCTTGTCCTTATGGTATGTTTGGTTGTTGCGATAGGGAAAGGAAAATGGGAATATTCCCATAAGGTTCCAACTTTCCAGCGTGGGAATGGAAACATGTGGAAACATGTGGGATGGGAATGGAAACATGTGGGATGCGGGTTCCCAAAATGGATGAAACGGGGTCGCGTTGATTTGGTGTGACCCCGGTTCGAAAGGAAACTTCTGAGAAAAAAAGATTGGGCTCTTCCTCTTGCTCTCTTTCTAGAGAACCCTCACCGCGAACCTGTGTCAACAACGGTCTTCTCGCTGGCGCCATTTTCGTTGATCTTCGGACAAGGTATGACCACGAACATGACAGTTGACGATCGGTGAGTATTTTTTATACTATTTTTGTAGCCGTCGAGCTCCTCTTGTCGGCAAGAAGAGATGGCTGCTCTCTGGCCAGAATCCATTCTTTTCGGCATGTAACCTTGATTTTTTCTACATATCTACACTTCTATCTCGTAAATCTAACGTATTTCTTGTGTTTTTTAACTTGTAGGGTCCAAACCTCCTTGCTCACTCGCGCAAAGGTAAGATATCCTAACTATTTTGTGTTTTTGTGTTTTAACTTGTAAATCTATGTGTGTAAAAGTAATATTGTTATGTGCATTTATTTGTATTTAACATGATAAATATATGATATAATACATGTGCCCAAATGTTTTTTTGTAAAATTGATGTATTTTTTATTTTTATGTTTTTTATATTTTATTAATTTTTATTATTTAATTATGACATTAAAGGTTGAGAGATTTGACCCAACAGTTGAAACATTGATCTCTACTAAACAAGAAAATAATTTCATTTTTTGTTAGTTTTAGATTATGTATTTCATTTTCATCATTAATAAAGATAATTCTTTTTTATTACACTTGTTTCTTTAAATTGGATTAATAAAAATGTCACCAATGTGTCTATTTTTCTATACTTTTGTAATTTTCTATGTTTATTTCCATTTAAAAATTTTATTTTATAATTATGATTTCATGGATTGGCCAATTTGATTCGGATGGTTGAATTGCTTAATCATTACTTGGATAAAGAATGATTTTGTTATTGAGTAAGTTTTAAAATATATAGGTTTATATTGTTAAAAGTATTAGACATAGATATAATTAATATCATTTATTAGTAAAAATAGTACTTAAATATGTGATTTAATAAGAGAGAATTAGAGTTAATACCTTAAATATAAGAGTTAATTAATGAGAAGCTATTAAATAAGGTGGAAGGCATTAATTGAAAATACATTTTCAACTTTCATAATTAGAGATGAACTAAATAACAAATGTGAGCATTTTAGTCAAGAAAAGTTTCACACCCTTATTCGTACTTTTTATAATAGTATAGATATATAGATATATTTAAATAAAAACATGTTTTACCACATTTCTGATTTCAGTTTTACAAACAAAAACACATTTACAAGCAATAACACGTTTTTTTCTTATTTTTGTTTTAAGAAGCAATTTATTTTCAGATCAGCTTATTTTAATTTGGTTTTAAAGCTTTGCAACGAAAACACAAAACAAAAAAAAAAAAACAAAAAAAAAAGTAAAAAACAGGAATTCACGTTGAGTAACACCCTCTTTTTTTTTTTTTTTCTCTGATAATATATGGGCAGCTCTTCATCAATCCCTACTATGCCCCCGGACTGAGTTCATGATCCTTTAGGGGGCATATTGGTTGTATATTCAATATCTCAATTGTACCTCGTTTTGGTCATTGGGGCTTTGTTTGTTTTCAGTGCAAATGAAATTTGTACATGTAGGAGTGCAAATGGGCTTAGTGTTGATTCTGATATATTTTTGTTTTAGATTTGACTTTATTTTGTTTTACTAACTTGTAAAATGTAAAATGGAAAGTACAATGATTTGCTCCCAACTCTACATGAAATAGACCTAATGCAGACAGAATTGCTCCGGACAAATACAAACAAAGCATGTGCAATGCATAACCAAATTAAGAGTAAACACAACAGTTATCCATAGTTCCATGTACAACTCATACCATGCACAGATCATTGACGTGTTCACTTTTGATAGGGTTACGTAGCCTGTTGCAATTTTCTCATTTATAGGGTGGTGGTGGTGGAAATTTTCCATCAGTTTTCTGATATGATAATTTGCGCCAATTAGTGCAAATTTAATTAGAAGCACAAATTTTGTATGATTGTGAATCACAATTACAAACAAATGCTCACAAATCTGGAGTGGAGTGCAAAAGTTGTCTCTGCAGTGCAAAGAAAGAGTCTGAAATACAAACTAGTGGTTGAGTGTGCTCTAGGTGTGTTTGATTTCACTGCAAATCCTGACTGAATGTAAAATTTTACCTAGTTAAGTTTTGCTTTTGTTTTTTGTAATTATAGTTTGCATTCTTACATGATACAATATTTGTACTTTTTGTCTCTTTTGCACTCATTGGGAGTACAAACTTTGCATTCCAAAAATGATGAAAAAATTGCACCCTTCCTCCTATCTCAATTCTTTCTCATAATAAAGTGGGTGATTTTAGAAAGGTTCAAAATTTCAATATGATACACCCAGTGTTGGGCATATCGCATTGTATCTTTTGCTGAATGATACACCTATTTCAAGTTGTTTTTAGAAATTCTTTTTTAAATGATATGCCCCATATCAAGCATATCGTATTGTATCTTTTGCTGAACGATATGCTTATTTCAAGGTGCTTTTACAAATTCTTTTTTGAAAGACTAAAGGAACATAAAAATGACCCCCCTGCGAAATTTTGTAAAGAAAACCTTAAAAGAAGGAAGTGCAAGGTTCATGGTATCGATACACCCCTTTTGGCATATCAGGGTATCAACATTTTGAACCTTGGACCACATCATCTTGCATCCTACCTTAACCACAGATAGATAACCCTCCTCCTACCTCCACTATCTTTCATTTAAAGTGGGAATCACTTAATTTTACTTCTAAAAACAAACAAGACAAAGTCAAATTTATAGCAAAAGGCTGCTACAAAATTTAGGTTCAGTTTGTTTGCAATATAAACTTCATTTGCATTGATGTAAATGTGTGCAAGTGCAAATAGGTTGATTGTAAATTCTAGTTTACTTTTGTTTTGGATTTGACTGTCTTGTTTATTTGTGAGAATTAAAATAGAAACTAAGATGATGTGATAGCTACCTTAAATGAAAGAGAGAGGAGGTAGGAGAAGACTTATATATTTATCTCAAAGTGAGGCAAAAGGCAATAGGGTTATTAATGGACTTGACCCAATGCAACATCCAATCTGATATATAGTCTCATATTCAGATTATCAATTTGCATATATAATTAGTTCCAATGCAAATTTAACCCCATCCTATCCAATTAAAATCCGAATTCCATTATTTTATATATTATATCATATTAATTGCATATAGTAAAATTCAATATATTATATCTATATTAATTATTTATTATATAAGTTAAAAGTAATTAATTTATTTTTATTTTTATTTTTGTTTTAGGAAAAATGAAATGGAGTTGAATTAAATATGAACCCGAGCTGAGATCCCTAAATCCAATGAGATTTTGGATGAGATTCGGATTTTGATTTTCATTAGTTGGATTGGATTGGAGTGTTGCTGAACCTGACCGATTAAAGCCCTAGGAAGCAAGATGATGTGGTTCTGCCAAATATTAGAGTGAATTGAGGTGGGAGGATGGAATTGCAAATTTTGCATTAGTATTTGAGCTGAAAAATTTGCAATGGTAATGAAATGAGACAAAAAAAAATACAACTTTTATAGGAGTGCAATCATAATTACAAACAAATTTAAGATTAAAAATCTTACAAATCCCACAAATACATCAATAACACTAAATCAAGGTCGAAATAGCAATATATGAATGAGATATAAATGCATAAGAAATTCACATTTCAATAGTTTATATAAAGAAATACATTACATTAATCAACAAAATCGGGAGCCTAGAATAACTTACATCAAATTAAACAATGTTTGAGCCTTCAATCTACCAAAAAATCATTACAAGACGCATCAAATTGTTGTTTGATCAATAAGTTTATAAATCACTAATAAATCCATCTTATAGTTATCTCTTACCATGAAAATCATTTAGAATATATAAAATACATTATTTTTGTATTTTTTGTTCTTCATATATAAAAGTTAAGAAAAAATAAATTTTCTCATAAACAATTCTTAGATAAATAAATTTAATAGATCATTGATGTACATATTATAGTTCTTTTTCTTGCAATGAAAATCTTTTATAACATATAAAAATATTTTAAATTTTCAAACTTCTTTTAGAGGTGATTATGACTGCTACTAATAAAAAGTCATCATTCTTCAACACTACTGTGCCATTCCAGCGTGCCACGCACTTGCCTATCTTTAACATTGAACATGGAAAAAAAATCCAAAAAATCTTTTATTGCCAAAACATTTCAGTCATTAGTTTCTCTTTCTTTATATATAGCACAAGCTTTTCTTCCTTTCAGCCTTTTTTTTTTTAAGATCAAAGCCTTAAGCGTTGTCATTATCAGTCCATCACTCTCTCAATATATCCTCATTCCCCATCGTTCTCTGCCGAGTTTTGTGTGTGCATGAGGGAGAAAAAGAGTTTCCGGCTACTCCGCGTCCAGTGACCCTGATGGTAGTCACCAGGAAGGAGAAGGAAGGAAGGAAGGAGAGAGAGATAATAATGCCGTTCCGCGTCCCGCGTGAAATAGACAATGAAAACAGAATCTCGTTCCTGAAATCAAGAGTTTGCGAAGTAGACAGCAGAGAGCCGGCCGCAACCCGCACCGTCGTTGACTACAAACAAAAAGAAAAGTCATCGTCCACTCCACTAAAAACAAAAGCTCAGATTATTTTAATAGAAGAAGACTTTGACCTGCCACTACGTACCAGCAATTATAAATGAAGAGTCCAAATTACATGCTAGAGCACCACAATAATTAAGCTGCATGCGTCATTCTCTCTCTGTTCATCGATCAAAGCTAATCATGGCTTCCTCCTACTTGTTTACTAGCTTTTCCTTCACCTTACTGATGATCCTAGTGGGGATGGCTTCTGCACAGCTATCCTCGAATTTCTACGCGACGTCGTGCCCTAGTGCCCTCTCCATCATTAAGTCTGCAGTAACTTCTGCTGTTGCTAAAGAGCGACGTATGGGGGCTTCCTTGCTCCGTCTTCATTTCCATGACTGCTTTGTTAATGCAAGTCCTCTTCGCTCTCTGGATTTTCTTTCCTATTTCATGTCTTCTTGGGTCTTGGCTGTGTGTGCATGACATGACGGCATCCATGCACCCTTTTCTTAACTCACTGCTATATATATAAAACACAACCTTTGGCCATTGGGGCACAAAGAGATCTTCAACCAATTCATTTGGAGCTGGCTATGTAACAGTATAGCTAGCTAACGCATGAGAGATCGAGATTGTTGCAGAGAGTTGTGTTCTTTGTTTCTTTCTCCGTCTCTCTTTTTGTCTGTGGGTCGAGCACTGTTGCCATCATTTTAATATATATACATTTAAGCATGATATATTGGTGTGTTTGTTTGTGCGTGAAGACGAGTAGGAAATAAGAGGGTAAATTGACAAACAACATTGTATTTACATATCTTAAGCAGGGCTGTGATGCTTCTATTCTGCTGGATGACACTTCAAGCTTCACCGGTGAGAAGACAGCTGCTCCTAATGCAAATTCAGCCAGAGGATTTGATGTGATCGATACTATTAAATCTCAACTCGAAAGCGCGTGCCCTGGAGTTGTTTCATGTGCAGACATTCTAGCAGTTGCTTCTCGAGACTCCGTCGTTGCTGTAAGCAAAGCTTAACCCCTCCCAGTCCCAGTCTCACCAAGAGTTTATTAATTAAGCTAGAACAGCCCAGTTCTGCAGAAGAGCTGCATGCACTTGGGTGGTTTAATTTGGATTTTTCATTCATTTTTGTTTTTACTTTGCAGTTGGGTGGCACTTCATGGACAGTGCAGTTAGGCAGAAGAGACTCAACTACAGCGAGCTTAGATGATGCTAATAACAACCTCCCATCTCCATTCTTGGATCTGAGTGACCTCATATCTGCCTTTGCAAATAAGGGCTTCACTGCTAAAGAGTTGGTGGTTTTATCAGGTAACCCAGTGACTTAATTAAATTTGCTTGCAGTACAACTTGTTAAAACTGTTTGAAAAAATGGTCGATCGATCATCAAATTTACTCATCAGCTAATTTTATTGTTTTTTGCTTTCTGGGTTTCCTTCTCAAAGGAGGTCACTCAATAGGTCAGGCAAGGTGCTCCCTCTTTCGATCCCGCATCTACAACGAGACCAACGTCGACTCCTCATTTGCAAAATCCATCAAGTCCAACTGCCCCAGCGCCGGAGGTGACAACACCCTCGCTAATCTTGACACCACCACTTCTACAGTATTCGATAACGCTTACTTCACCAACTTGTTGAACAACAAGGGTCTGTTGCATTCTGACCAACAACTCTTCAATGGTGGCTCCACTGATGCCCAAGTTAGAGCCTACAGCACCAACTCTGCGACTTTCTTTTCCGATTTTGGGAACGCCATGATCAAGATGGGGAACCTTAGCCCACTTACTGGCACTAGTGGCCAGATCAGGACCAATTGTAGGAAGGTCAACTAATTGTTTCTCTCTCTCTCTATTTTGGGGTATATTATCTATAAGCCAATAAAGCAAATGTCTACAAAGGGTAGTTATTGGCACTAGTGGCCAGATCAGGACCAATTGTAGGAAGGTCAACTAATTGTTTCTCTCTGTCTCTCTCTATTTTGGGGTATGTTATCCATATAAGCCAATAAAGCAAGTGTCTACAAAGGTAGTTATTTGTCAATATGTAAAGTGTTCTCCAATCTCAATATGATCCGACCGACTATAATTAATCACCTCTGATGCGAGTGCGCGTCCATTAATTATTAATAGTTCTGTGAGTGTGCATCTAATAGTTCTGTGACACTTGTCCCAGTTAATGTGTCTGTCATCTAAATGTTTTTGTTCCGTTAGAAAAAAATTATCTATTATTTTATTATTTTTGTTAAAATAATTAAAAATAATAAAATAATAAAAAAAGAACCTAAACGTGCTGGGAAATGGAATTCATTGGACTCCCTCCAACCTTCTACCGTTTTGGTTTCTCTCTCCAATTCCAACCTTCAACAACTACAACGGAGCTCTCATACCACAGCTTTTTCTACCTATCTTCTTCCTCATCCTTGTATTTGCAATTATAAAGTGGGTTCTTAACTTCTACTACTGGCGTTGCTTTTTAGCGTGCAAAAAGGCAAGAGAACTACACCAATTATTGTCAATTTATAAGTCAGAAATACCTGTATTAACTCTATCAATTTGTCAGAATAGTTTATGCATATTCCTAGAAAATTAATTCACCCTTTGGGTATTGGGTATTGGCCTTTCATTTGATACTAATTCAAGCTTGAAATTTGAAATTTATAACCTTTCAATGAGCCTAGTGTGTTTGGGGAAGCATTTTCTTGCTACTATATATGCAAAATTTATGGATTTTTTCTTTGCTTTTGCACCAAAAGGTAACACTTAATTTGAGAGGTTTGTTTTGGTTGGGCATAATTGGAATTTGACTCCAGTTCTTGGTGGAATGGCATTCCCCCATTCCCCCCCTCTCTAGGGAATAAGAATCCCCTTCTAGCTTATTCCAATTCCAATTCCAATTCCTATCATAACCAAACAGGTGGGGGAATAGACCAATTTCGATTATGACCATGATCCGAATGGACCCTTAGTTCTTAACTCTCATAAAAGAAAGTATTAACAAAAACTACACATTATTTGATGGGTAATAAGAGATTTCATCATTCCCGCGATAGTGTGATAAATTACACAAATTCTGAATTATCCATTCTCTTGAGTTGTTGCTTGCCACGTGAGGAAACAACTATTGGTTTGGTTTGTGATGAACCTAGAGAGAGAAAGAGATTAAATGGAAATCTAGCTATAGTTGCGAAGAGACAATGATTTATCAATATTCATATTTGATTGATCATTTGAAAACATAAAGCAAAATCATTGGTTTTCTTTCTTTATAGAAAGGTTTTTTTGATAACTAGAAAACAGAAATATTTACATATCCATATAAAATAAGATATCATGGGCCAGGCTGGGCTTTGCACTTATGATAAGGGCTATAGATTAGGCCTGGGCCCGGCTCGATCGAGGGTTTCGGGCCTGTAACATAAGCCCTAGCCCAGGTCTACATGAACCCATGATGGGTTTGAAGTATTAAGCCAAGCCCGGCCCTAAAATTTGCGGGCCTGATGTGGGCCCGGGCCGGGCCTGAACACAAAACCCAGGCCCAAGCCCGGAATTTCCGAGCCGGGCTTGTGTGGGTTGAGCCGGGCCAAGCTGAAATGATCACCCCTAGACTTGTGCTTAATTTGAAAGAACCGAAAGTTGAGGGAAATTTCTAAAGAAATTTCACAAAATTTGTTAAAAACTCTACTTTAACTTTAACGGCCTTTTATTTTCTAGCAAATCAAACATAGCCTAATAAATTGACATAGAGTATGCAACTTAGGAGTCAAAAGTGGTGAAGTCAAAAGAGTTACAATTAGGGTTCAAGTTGCCCATTTGGTATTGACAAATTACTAATTTCCATTACATCTAGTAATACAATCCCATAATTTCTTTTGGTAATCCAATCTCGGCCATAAATTTCATATGAACACAACAAGAAGAAAAAGAAACTTCAAATAATTTGATGTTCCAAATATAACTTAGCCATATCTTTACATACCTAATAATGCTCATGCTGAAATCTTTTGTTTTAACCCCATTGTCAATAAAATAACAATACTAGAATACGTATAATGCATTTGACATGTTATTAATTTCAATCTATCCTCCAAGAGGGAAACTTGCTTCTCAAGCCATTCCATAATACTATTCTCTTATAGTGATACTTGCTCTTCGAACTACTTCAAAACTTTACTTTTTGCATCCAACCATATTCCAAGCAGTAAATTTGTCTATCCACTTGATGCATATGCTAATTCAGACATGTCTCGAAAATTGTATAGGATGCACCAATCAAAAATTAGGTATGAGATAGAATGCAAATGGCACGAAAATGAAAATCATATTGAGGAGATTTTTTACTAGTCTTGTGTTGTATGTTCTTGTAATATGTTCCTATAAGAGTTAAGAAAAGAAAATAAATTCAAGAAAAAAACTGCAAGCACAAATTTCCAACATCTTAATGTTGTTGGTAGCAAATAAAGTTCATAAAGAAACAAGTTGATTCTACAAAAAAAAAAAAAACAAGTTGTAGAAACCATGATCTAGGCTAATCATTCTCACTAGTCATCCCAATCAATTGTTTTTATTTTATTCTATCTATGGACATGTTTTGAAGTTGTTTATACTTGAGCATTTAACCAGGTAGTGCTAGCTCTTGGAAATGAATTCCATGTATTGTACTAATAGGTTGGGCCATATAACCTACTAGTTTTGCACCAACAACTAAGTACTCATTGATTTTAGAATTTATTTTTTTATTAGCCACCACAAAATTTCCTCATTTTACAACTTATTTTTTCTTGTTCGTTCATTCTAATAATTTGAAGGTTTCTTTGTCTTTGAACAAGACAAAGCTCAAGATAAGCTTTTTCTTTTACCTTTTCCCTTGCTGCATTTTTTTGTTTTAACCTAAAGAAACAAACATAACCCTTTTTTATGATTAACCAAGTGATATTCCAACTCAATTCTAATCCAAGTACACCTATACCCTACAATACAAATTGAAGTTGCAAGGGAAAAATGTTGTACATAGAAAAAAGTTACAAAGAACAAAGATTTGTACTAGTTACTTTTAACTAATAAGTTTTAATAATTAACAAAAGCATGATTATTAGTGATGAGGACCATTGTAGATGATTCCAGACCAAACTAGTTAATAAGTATGCTAAATCCAATCTTACCAAGCTGTTGAACAACATAACGCCCAAGAAACCCAATAGCTCCAAATACTATTGCAACAATGTCGCTTTCCAAATTGAATAAATATTTCAACTTAGACAATAAAATTGCAAATGGACCAAAATGAAAGTTTCTTTCTTGATAGGTAAATGAATGTTTATTCTTCTTGACACTTACCCTTGTAGTCTAATGTCTGAACAAGTCCAAATTAATGCATTAACAGTGATCAAACAGAGCAAACCATCTTTATAGGACTCTTCCAACCAAATTAAAAGGGATTAAATCACTAAATTTCAACTAAAAGAAAAAAAAGTGGTAAAGAACATAAGTCATAGATGATCTTCCACCAGTACCTTTACAACAAGATGGGGAGGGTCGATCCATACCATGAATGATCAGTAACATAATCTGCATTTTCAATCAATATATCATGGTCTGAACTTATGGTTACAAAGCTAAAATCCCACAAAAATCCAACAAAATCATTCCAGAAAGTCAGGAATTTGCGATTTGATTAAAATCCCACTGATGATGCACAATTCGCTCACTTCCTCCTGTCTGATGAGGTGGCTCGAACCGAGTCCAGACCTGGCAATGGCGAGCTGTGATGCCAAGCTAGGAGTCCAAGCTGAGAGATGCTGTGAAGAGAGACGGGTTAGAGTGCTTGGGTATGTTTTACCTAGGAAAACACTCTGATGCTTAAGTCAAAGAGGAGATTTGATGGGAATATTTGAGAGAGTTCAAGTGCTTCAGTGTGCATACCTTTCAAAGTGATCATGGGTTCTTTTTATAGTTATTAGGTGTTCAGGTGCCATTGGACAATGTCTTTGAGTTTTCTATGGAGCTGTTTCTGTAGTTTGAGGGGGTGTTGGGCCCTTAGTTGCTAAATTCGCGTGGTGGTTACAAGTCGCCCGCGGGACTTGTGGTGCATGGTTCAATGAGTTGTTCCTATAGTTACGGTAACGGTGCTAGAACGGACATGGCACATGGGACGGTTCTAGGGCGAGATGTCATTGTTAGTGGGCCGAGTTCGTCTCAACTCAGCCGTGCACTTGTTATAGACTACCACGTGCTAAACCGGAGAGTTGTCTCACTGAGTTAGACGCTGTGTTGCTGACAACATCCATGTGTCCGCCATTGAGTGGGTTGACCAAAATTCCCCTCATCAATTGCCCCCCACTCTTGAGTCACTACCTAGTAGGCAAAGAGAGTAAAAGTTTCTGGGGAAATTTTGGTTCGACTTGCTTTGTTCTTAGGTTCAGTTCACTTTTTCGGCCGGCCTAGTTTAGTTCGCCATTATCAGTTTGGTAGAAATTTTGAAATCGCGAGCCCCCTCCCCTTTTTTAATTTTCGAGATTGGCACGCTAAAGGTTTGACGCACGTGCCTGTCTTCAACTGCCAACAGCTTGTCAGGCGTAGGTGCCACTTGATCGTGGGAGGCATGCTCTTATCAAATCGTCTCCAAATCTGGGCTGCTGATTTCCTTCCTACAAGATTTAAATATGGGGGCCCTCGAGGTTTGGGCTTTTGTTGCTGAACTACTAAGGCAAGCTCTGTTCTCTGCAAGCGAGCTGTATTTTCTTCCTTTGCTAAGTTCAACGACTATCGTTTCGAGTCGCTCCTAGCGTTTTCTGTTAAGTACTTCCTCCATTCTCAACATGTCTCACAGTTCTGGTGAAAATAGAGTTCATTATAGTGGGAGTCGTCTAGCTCCTTCGGTGAAGAGTCTTTCGAGACCTTTTTTGATGAGGCTTTAGTAGGCAAGCGGGAAGAGGTTGAGGCTACAACGGGTTAATTCAGGGGGACCCAATTGTCAGGGGAAGAAATAGTAGAGTTGTGTCATAGGTATGAGGTCGCAAATGAGTAGCAACGGATTGTGCCTAG